AATCTTGGCACATTGTGCCAGGCAATGTGAGCTGCCCTGAGCCTGCTTGCGGAGAGGGCGGGTTATAAATAAAATAAACAAATCAAGGGTAGGGGGTATGCATTGGACATGGAGACTGTGTTCAGACCTCTATAATCCATGCACAGTCTAAGCCCCCCATCCTTCTTTTTTCTAAAGAGCACAGGTGCCGCAAAAGGAGATGCTCTAAGTTCTTGTCTATGAACCGCCGTAATTCTTCCCTCTCAGTCGGGCTCATGGCATAAAGTTTTCCCTTAGGCATTTTGTGCCCCAGCAATATTTCAATGGCGCACTCTGTTTTGCGGTGGTGGTGGGGGGCAACTCATTGGCCGCTCGTTCTTCAAACACTCGGCCCAAGTCTCTGTACTCTGGCGGTATGGCATTCAGTTCTTCCCTTGCCAGGCAAATTCTCTCAGGCGCCGGGCACGGCTCCTCCCCCCATTCTGGGTTCCACTGATGCTCCTTAAAAACATAAGAACATGTTGGATCAGGCCAAAGGCCCATCCAGTCCAACACTCTGTATCACACAGTGGCCAGAAATACCAGTGCCATCAGGAGGTCCACCAGTGGGGCCAGGACATTAGAAGCCCTCCTTGCATCTGGGATTTAGGAAAGTCAAAGTTCCTAAGCTTTACTGCACATAAGGGTCATGAGCTGCTAGCCACGGGCTGCCTAGTACTGTGGGGAACTGTGAGGTGGGGTGTACTATGAAGGATCTTTGCTCCCAGTGTCCTGAATCCCCCATGGGTAATTTAACAGTGCGGTATTGGCATGATTGCATGGTAGTGCTGTCCATCTGGGTGAACACTACGGGGTCTTTCAGTCTCATCACCCCTGCTCCCAAGCCTATGACGAATGTGGGGCCCAACAAGTCTCGAGAACACCCTGAGTCTATAAGGGCCCTGACTCTAACTTGGGTCCCCGCTTCGGGGTTCAGGATAGTCACAGTCACAAAAAAGAGGGAGGAACAGGTTCTCACTGGTTCTTGCACTGGAGTTTTGTGGACCTGCTGGCTGGCGCTCTTCACAGCAGGTCCGGCCCTTTTCCCTGCACCTGAGGCTCCTGAGCATTGCTGGAAGAAGTTCCCTCTGATGTGGTATACTCAGCTGCTTGCAAGGATTTTGGTGACTTTGGTCTCTTCCCCACCGCCTTCGGCTTCTTGTCGCGTTGCTCCTTGCGGCATTCCCTCTCCTCGATCCGAGGACGGTGACACTCTTCAGCAAAGTGCTCGGCTTTCCCACAGCGCAGGCAAAGCCCCTTCTTAAACTGGTGCTCACAATCCCCACCGGGTAGCGAACCCCTACCCCGAGTCATCTTCTGGGCGCGCCCCCCCCTTGTTCAGGTGCCTTATGCTGGTATAGCTTTACCAGGTGGTGCCAGTTCTCTGCCTCGCAGGCCACTTGGATCTACCCTGCTAAGGTTATGGGGTTGCCTTGGGCCTTTCCCAAGATGATGGTGTTCAGGCCGGCCTGGTAGAATTCAATCAGGACCTCTTTTGGCCAGCCCTGCAGCTTGGCTGCGGTGGCTTTGAACACATCAGAGTGTTCCTGCACTGACCAGGCTCCTTGACGGAGGCCCTGTAGATGGGTACGGGCCTTTTCCAGCTCCAGTGGGTCTTCGAATTGGTGCTGCAGGGCCTGCATCAAGGCATCCACATCTTGTAGCTCCAGGGCCATGACATTGTAAAGCCCCATGAACCAGCCAGTGGGCTCGCTCTCTAAACTGAAAGCCCATGTAAACCACATGCTGCTCGTCCAAGGCAAAGGTATGGCCCCACTCCCGCAGCCTCTTCTGCACCTGGATCGCGAGGAATGCCAGCTTTCCCAGGCTGCCGCTAAAGGCGGCCTCCAAGGCGTTGTGGGGCTGCTCTCCCTCTGCCTTGGGTCGTCCAGGTGGGGGCGGGGGCTTTTTGACTTCGCCTTCGCTCTCCTCCTCGGACTCTTCCAATTCCTCCTTCTCCATTAGCTCCTCCTCCAGCATAGGGAGAGTCTTCACCAGGCACTGGAAGCCTCCCCGGAGCTCCTTCCCATCAGCTCGGAGACTGGAGTGGCCTCTCTGCGTGGCTGGCTCCTCCTCCCACTCCTCCCGCATTTTGCCCAGGCCTCTGGGTCATCATGGAAGGTGCAGGAGACACGTGGCTTCTCGCGCTCAGCCTTCCCCCAGGTCCCACAGAACCCCGGGATACTTGCCAGCCAGGTCGGGTCATCCTAGCGATCGGGGCTGTCACGCCTCTTCGGAGGGTGGAAGAGAACGTGCTTTTTAGGCCTAGCACCGGAGACCTTGCTATCCTTTTTTCCCCCTCAGGGTCGTGCGTGAGGTTCTCAGGTTCAGACCTGGTACTCGCACTCACCCCGCTATCTCCATCGCCGTTCCTCATGCTGCTATTGGTTGGGGCTGGGGGGAGAGATCTATGGGAGTCCTAACAATCTGTCAGGTCCCCAGCTAAAACACTCTCCACACACACTAGTGGCAGTGAAATGCTTTATTGAAGATATGCTTGCTGTAGACTCAAGAACTTTTGTTAGGACTGAAGGAAACCGTGGGAAATCACAGGTAAAAGCATAAAATTCCCTATTCACTCACATCACGCCTACTCCTGGCGTTTCTGTGGCAACATGGACAGATATATGGTGCCCTATCTACCCTAAGCATGGCACAAAGATTCACCAAGGTCAGTCTCATGAGAACCAACACTTGGGGCACAACTTCAGGAATAATTATGGTTGCTACTCCTGTGCGCTCTCACAACACACACACACGGAATTTAACATGACAAGCGAAGGGGAAGAAAACAGAATGTAAGGAAATGAACGTTAAACAAAAGTTAAGCCTGAGCCAGTAGTCTGTTGAGATTCATGTCTGTCATCTACATGTTCTTTATTCCAGCCCTGATAGGTAGGCCCCATTGCAGGAGTGGGGGGAGGTTGAGGCAGCCAGAGACGGAGAGGGCAGTCGCAGGGCAAGTTCTGGTTTCCATGGGCTTCGCCTGCAGAAACTCTGCCCCGTTTTCCCCTGGCAGAGGGCAAAGGCAAGGGTCCCGCCACCATCTCACAGGCACTCTTGTTGTGCCTGAGTTGTTATCCACTCCCTTCTTTTCAGCTTGGATAGAGAGCTGTCAGCATCGTTTTGAATATGTAACTGTTGCAAAAATGATTTTACTGATCTGACAGTCTTCACTGGAAACGTTGGGAACCTTGAGTGTGCCATGAAGAAAAGCTGATGCTGTTGTGGTGGGGAAATTTTTGCAATCTCACAGTGCCTAAATGAGGCCCAAGCTGTCTTGTTAGAGCGTCTCTCAGCACCATCAGCCTTCCGATTAGCTGTAACGTCTGGACTGGTGACTGCTCTCAAAACCCTTAAGGAGGCCAGCATTTCTGGGTAATTGAGCAGGCATAAACAGCCGGGGCACTTTGTAGATCAGGAGCCAGGGAAGGGCACCGGATGGACCGAAGGGGGAACTTGGAAAGTCCCTGAAGGGGGACACGTTCCCATCCACGGGCACTTCTGGAGCGGCTGCCTGAATGCTGCTGCTTCATCAAACCTGGAAAGAGGCGAGGTGCAGCCCTGCTCCAGACTCTGGGCACAGACTTTGGGCACGGAAGGGGAAAGGGCAGTCCAAGCTCAGCCCGGGGGGAACGGCAGGCTGGGTGGCACCCCTCTCCGGCAAGGCCTGGGACCAATGCCGGGGCCAGGCCTCCTGCCCGTGGCTCACCGGCTGGGCTGCACCTCCTCTCTGCGGCTCTAGCTGCTGCTCTCAGCTGCGGTCTGGCTCAGCTGCCGCTGTTTTGGAAAGAGCTGGAGGAGAGGAGGAGGCCTGGCACCCCGGGGCACAGGGTTGTCTCTCTCGTCCCCCTCTTGTCTGGAGCCAATTTTCTTTAAATTTATTTAACCTTCGACTTCTATCCCGCTCACCCCCTAGGGGCTCTGAGCGGCTTACAATTCCAATTAGCCAATCTAATCTAGGGCCACATACGAAGGGGAGGTGAGAAGCCTACCAGGCACCCTTATCCTGTTGTGGCAGATCTTCTTATTGCGAGGGGGCAGTCCAGCGGCAACCCTCCTCC